CCTGCCTGCCTGCCTGCCTGCCTGCCTGCCTGCCTGTCTGTCCGTCTGTCTGTCTGTCTGTGTACAGCTGACTCCACTTATGTTGTAGCACTACTCGCTTGAAATGATCTTCTATTAAGCTGTTCTTTTTCTTAGGTCCCCGCACCTCATCTTCCTTACATTTGAAAGCGCTATTGTCCGAGCTCATAAGATATATAACTTTTAATAAGTGAAACGATTATGTTGAGTTCAACACAAACGTTAATTTTGAGCTGAAGTGCTTTTCAACCCCCAGCGGTAAGTATGTAGATCTATGCAACGACTGCATTGATTTTTGTTTCCGCGTGTAGGGTCAGACTTTTCGTTTCGCTGCAGTTTTTACATGGTTGATCACTTAACGTAAATATACAATCATGGAAGAGCCGACCAACGCGCAATCAGCCTTCACAGTCCATGTACTATGCACTAGGCCAGCATAGACCATATACCTTAATATGAAAGGCTGAGGGGCGTGTGTGACGACTTTAAGACTACAAACCACGTCAGTTGTTGTTTGCCCCCTCCTCAAGGCCGAAGAGCAGAGCGCGCCACAAGACAATGAGTACTACATACAGAAGGCCTACAATAATAACTCGGAAAAAACGTTCTCGTCTGAAAACGTAATCTCAGTTATAACGTTCATTTTCTGAAATCCCGAGTCCTAGTAAGTATTTTTCTCTTTATGAGCTACGTCTAAAACATACCTTCGTACTTTGTGTACTTTTCGCTTGAACATTCACTTTTCAAAGTATTTTAATGATTTAAAGTTTGTATTCAGCGTACTTTGTGCATTGTGAGAATAAAGAAAATGGCAAAAAGCGACAGTTTTATCGAACTCGGAAATACAACGCGCTCTGTACATGTTATGCTAGAAGCAAGCCTGTTAATAAAATAATCGTTAGTTTTGATGCAAGTGGACTCTTGCATACTCTCTCTCTCTCTCTCTCTCTCTCTCTCTCTCTCTCTATCTATCTCTCTCTCTCTCTCTCTCTCTCTC